GTCGTGGAACACTGTAACAGTGTCGCCATTTGTCTGCTCGATCTTCTCGGTCTGCTCCTTTTGTTCGGTAGCGGCGCCAGGAGCGGTGTTCTCGTCGTTCACCGGTACAGGACCGTTCTCTGCGACTGCAGCCATTGTGATTATGGATTATAGATGTGAGACAAGAAAGTAAATTCGTAAGAGGCTCGGTCGAGCGATCTTTGAGCGCGGGAGAGAGATACGTGAGTTGTCGGAGGGGCGAAGAAAAGTCTTGGTGTCAAAAGTCAATTTTTGACGGGGTCGCGAGGAAGGAGCGATCCAGAGGCGAATGTCCAAGAGGGTAGAGGTGGAAGAGAATCAGCTTATGCGCGGGGGTCACGCAGTCGTTTGTTGTCTGCTCCAGGCAGAATCACGGCGGTAGTCGTGTGTTGGCGGTGTTGCAGTTCTGCGAAAATAATGATGAAGTTTTGAAGCGTTTGGAGATGCCGCAGCTTGGTGAAAGTGCTACTTTACCCTTTTGGGACTCGCCCCCTTTCTAGGCCTTTAATAGGCTGGCGCCCAGACCTGAACCCTAACAAAGAGTGCTGTAAGATCATTCATCTTATTTTCAAGCCGATTTTGATGTTCAAGTGATATCCCAGCAGGCCTAGATATTGACCTCGTATAGATATACTCATTCTATTCTAAGACGAAAGAGAACCGAATCTAAGGTAAAATATGAATGAGCTTCGCAGAATTCCCCCTTACCTTGTGAGAAACCGGCATGATAAATATCAAAAAAAAAAAAACAACCATGACGACCAGCCTCAAAATCCAAGCATTGTAAGAATCAGATATTGCCCCGTTTGTACCAAGGAAAGTCTTAAACATTGCGCCCATACGAATGAGTAAAATGAACCCTCTATCAAACCAGCAAGAATAAAAGAAATGGACCAAAGATAAACGCTAGTTATCCAGTCAAAAGGGTATCCTAAACGCAATGCTTCCAATGTTGAAAAACACTTATTTCTCGCCGCTGTTGATCAAACTCAAGAGGCAGTTCCAGCCTGATCCAGACCCATTAGCGAGGTGAAATCAAGATGATTGAGATGGACAAAACTCACCTAAGCTAACCACATTGACGACCAAAACCCGGTACTCTAGAGGCACAATTGAGAAGTTGACGCCCTGGACCCACGGCCAGATAGTGAGGTTCGCCTTGTAACTGGGAAGAAAGCTGGTACGCCATTTCTCGATCGGGTCCGTGCCTTCCATGATTGCCATTGATGTCAGGAAACAGGTTAGGTGGGTAGGAGTGAAGAGGCCTTGGTCTGCGATAACGCGCGCAACGATCGTAGCTTTGTGGCTCTTCAGAACGACGTTTCGCTGAAGGAAGCCGAACCATGTGGTCGCGGCCGGTCCGAAGATTGCTAGATATCTCTTGATTAGCAACAGACGCAACAGACTAAGAATTAAGGAAGACGGGAGTTCGTATTCCGTGGCAGGAACTCACCTCCTCCATACAGCGCCATTCGTCCAGTTCTTGCCATGTCGTGCTTATCGAAGCCCTTGCGATCAACAGCTTGCTGTGCCAGAATATCTCCGCAACCAAAAAGCACCTATTTTCTGTCAAACGATATCAATTCGAGCGTCGCAGGGGAAATCATACAGCACTCGTTACGCTGGCCGTGAGGATGGGCTGCTTAGCCAACTTGGTCTGATACCTAGAATAGATCTTAGCTCCATCAATCGAACGTAGATGCCGGTTCTATGTAGACCTACCACCGCAACATTTTCGACGTAACAAAAGTATCTAGGAGTCCAATTGACGCGGATGGTATCAGGAAGGATTTGAGAAAGAAAGATCCCTTTTTAAAACAGGAGAACAGAAGGCGACGATGAGAATTCCAAGAAAAAGAAAAACATGGGGGAGCAGGTGATAAGTATCGAGACTCACCCCGATAAGAGCAATAATGGGGCTCAACCTTGGAGATTTAGTGACCGCAATGCTCAAAACAGGAAAACATGGACAAATCAGCGCCACGCCCGCAAACTATTGGAGAAAAACATCCCAAAATGGGAGCCCACCCGTCACATGATGCGGGTCTGATCGGCTTACCGTATTGGGACCACGCGCTAGGGCATAGGGTTACCGCTCGTAGGGCTTGTTGGCTCGCTTAGCACACCCGCCAGCGAAATTTCCGTAGGGCCCAAAACAGCTGTGGATAGCGAGCAAAGTCAACCTCGACGTCGACAACCCCTCCGAACGACACCTCCCGTCCGTTACACCTCTCCCCCCGGTTCATTCTCAATCGCCATCAACATACAAAATGGCTGACGCTCCCCGTGGACGTGGAGGATTTGGCTCGCGCGGTGACCGTGGTGGTGACCGTGGCCGTGGCCGTGGTCGTCGTGGTCGTCGCGGCGGCGCGAAGGAGCAGGAGAAGGAATGGCAGCCCGTCACCAAGCTCGGCCGTCTCGTCAAGGCCGGCAAGATCACCAGCATGGAGCAGATCTACCTGCACTCTCTGCCCGTCAAGGAGTACCAGATTGTTGACTTCTTCCTGCCCAAGCTCAAGGATGAGGTCATGAAGGTACGAAACGAAACAATTCCATTCGCGTTTAGCCTTTAGAGAGAAATTGTGCATGACAAGCTTTGTGGATTGTGGAAAAATAAATCGGATTCTCGTAACGATTGGATTGGGCGAATCTGGGCGATATACTGGGGTGCAATTGGCAGTTGCTGATGGTTATGAAACTATAGATCAAGCCCGTCCAGAAGCAGACCCGTGCCGGTCAGCGTACCCGTTTCAAGGCCGTCGTTGTCATCGGTGACTCCGAGGGTCACATCGGTCTCGGTATCAAGACCTCCAAGGAAGTCGCTACCGCCATCCGCGCCGCCATCATCATTGCCAAGCTCAGCGTTCTGCCCGTCCGGAGAGGTTACTGGGGTACCAACCTCGGTGAGCCTCACTCTCTGCCCGTTAAGCAGAGCGCCAAGTGTGGTTCCGTCTCCGTCAGAGTACGTTACAATTGAATCCGATAGCTAGACTTTGCAGGATGTCAGATGTCTAACCGCGACAATAGCTTATCCCCGCTCCCCGTGGTACCGGTCTCGTTGCCTCCCCCGCTGTCAAGCGTCTCCTTCAGCTTGCTGGTGTCCAGGACGCCTACACCTCGTCCTCCGGTTCCACCAAGACCCTCGAGAACACCCTCAAGGCTACCTTCCTTGCCGTCGTCAACACCTACGGCTTCCTCACCCCCAACCTGTGGAAGGAGACTAAGCTCATCCGGAGCCCTCTGGAGGAGTTTAGTGATGTTCTGCGCCAGGGCAAGAAGTACTAATTTAGTGCTGTGACGGGATAAATTTGCATGACTGTTTTTGATCGGACTATTTTCCTACGGGTTCCAACTTTTTCTTTCTTGGCTGGAAGAACGGGGACGCTGGACAGGACTTCATTTCGATCACGCTCGGCTACGCTACTTATGGTGTCCATGGATGTATTTATCACGGGAAGGGAAAACAAAAGCAAAATAGCGTGGAGTCAATAAAGCTACCCATTCGCCAGTCATGACCACTAGCCTCGTTCCTTGGACAGACATCAGGAATCATCCCTCCTAAGGGCTGGATCATTCGAGGTCATTGGTCCCTCTGTCCGAAGAATGCCTCCTGCCCACGGGGTCCCACAATGTTCGTAGATTGTCTCGAAAATCGAAGGCAGTATTATAGCAAATGTGTCAACGCTACAACTGCGAGCATCTAGACTTGAAAGGTCAAGCTGCCTGCTTCTAGATGAGGAACCGATATTGATCTACAGAAGTTAGACACTCCATTCATAAATAGAACACTGGGAGTGGTGATTTGTCATTTGCTGTACTGTGGTGTAATAGCAACCCCTGCAGGCTGAAGGGTCGAATCACCCTCTCCTGTTTGATTTCCAAAAGCGATAGCCTGAGGAACGAACCACTTGCTTATCTGGCTTGGACAGCGCTTCGAGTTGTTAGTATGGTTCATTCTTCGTTCAAGCGGAGATATATATCTCTATCATCCTTTGTTGCACAACGCAATATATCAGCCCACAAAGATATAATGACAAATATATTTCCATCCATGATGTTTACGTCTTGAGCTCTCTGTAACATTCAAAGGGCTACATGGGACATGATCGAGTACAATTCGACTCGCTGTGTCTAACAGTAACTCTATCTCCCGCCCTGGAGCTAGCAACAACCTCGACTGACAAACAAGCCTCGAGGAAGTCGACTATCGCGGTAGCACTGTGCCTTAATAGCATGCCTCTGATTTGAAAATGGCACTGAGTATTTCACATCCAGACGAATGCCCCTGTGAGCGAAGATACTTCAGTCTGCCAGACCTCTCAGTGACGAATGCCTATGCTCAGAGCTTGCAGATCGCCTTTTCATGGCCGCAGAAACAATGCTGAAATCCTTTCACTTCTCGAGGATCTAGGATAATAATAATCGCTTCATATCTTCATGACTCGTGGAACTTTATGCGCAGTCTGCTATCGACCAGCAGCTCGCATTCCGATCTGTCCAATGATATGCTGAATGTGTGACTGTTGTGATAGCCCTGCATCTCCCATATGATGACCTCGAGCGGGGCGCTTGAGCTCTGATCTCCTCTATTTCTTTATAAATTGTTCAGCGAGACCTCTCACTATCCATTTGGTACATGAGACGAGCAAGCTGTATGGCACTGTCTATTCTTCAGCTGCAGAGGGTCTGCTCTAGCTAGCATGATCTTGTCTTTAGTAATACTGGGCCTCGCAGGCCTGTATGCTTTTGACTACTTTCGTCGTCTATTCAAGAATCTCCGTCTGGCTCAGCGCACAGGTCTTCCATATACTGTGTTGCCTTTCTCCGGGAATAGTTTGCAGGTGAAAATACTGCTCAGTATTAGATGGCTCCCACATATCATCAACTACTGGCTCCCTGGCTGGCTAGCCGATATCATAAATGACGATACCTATGATTATCGATGGACTGTCAAAGATCGACGAGCAAAAAAGCTTGGGAAAATGTATCTCGTTGTCACCCCGGAGAATATAGTCTGCCATATTGCAGATGCTTCCCTCGTCACACAGATATGCAACGCACGGCAAAGCTTCCCCAAGCCAGTCTGGCAATATAGTAAGCTCTGCCTTCCGGCCACCAATCACCTGTGTTATTGGTTCTTGCACAGGGGCTAACGATGCAAACAGCAATGCTCAATCTGTACGGACCAAATCTAGTCACAGTAGGAGCTGCATTCTTGGACTAATATCTTTGAGACTTTAACTTACTGGCTGACTCGGAATAGTGTGAAGACCAAGCTTGGGCGCATCACAGGCGTCACGCAGCACCCACCTTCAACGAGAAGAATAATGCACTTGTCTGGCAAGAGTCTATCCGTCAGGTGACAGAGATGCTCGATCACTGGCAGACATCAGGCACATCAGGGAAGCTGCAGGGTTTCGTGGTAGCGAGTACGAGAGGAGACCTTCTAAATTTCAGTCTGAATGTCCTCTCTGGTGCCGGCTTCGGGATGAAACTTCCCTTCAAGCCATTACCACAGGAGTCGACTAACGACCCTAATGACATGTTCAAAGATACGGTAAAGCCCCCGGAGGGATTCAGCTTCACCTTCCGGTCTGCCGTGGCGTACATGAACCTAAGAATCATGACAGTAGTTTTGGCGACTTCCATGCCGAGATGGATCCCTAGAGCATTGATTCCATGGCTCAAGTCGGACTTTGAAGCTCATAGGGACTTAGAGGCTTATTTGCGAGAATTGATCAGCACTGGTAAAGCGGAGAAGACAGCTGACAGCAGTCAAAACTTGATCCAGGGACTGTTGTTGTCCAGAATCAAGGAGGGAGCAAGTGGGAGTTCGAAAGGCACTGGCTTGACCGATTTGGAAATCATTGGGAATATGTACATTTTCACCATTGCGGGACACGAAACCACGGCAACCTCTTTGAGATTTACTCTGCTGCTCTTGGCATTGCACCAGGATGTCCAAGACTGGCTATACGAAAACATCCTCGAGGCAACTCACGGCGAGCCTGAAGACGTTGCTTACTGGGATTATCATCGCATGTTCCCTAAGCTGATTGCGCCGTTATGCGTGATGGTTAGTCCCAAGCTAGTCATTTTGCACACTATTCTAACCCGTATACAGCTTGAGGTCCTTCGCCTTTACCCCCCGGTAGTGACGGTCCCTAAAAGCACGTCTGAAACCCCAAGTCCCCTCAACTATCAAGGCAAGCAATACCTTTTACCGTCGCGAGCCAATGTCAACCTGAACGCAAATTGCCTCCATTATTTAGAAGAATACTGGGGTCCAGATGCTGCAGTGTTCTATCCTCAAAGATGGGATGCAAGAAACCAGAACAGCTTTCTAGCGAAGAATGCGTTGACACCAGGACTTGCTGCACCTGGTCTAGAGTATCCTATTATTCACAAACCGGTAAGGGGAGCATTCATCCCTTTCAGCGATGGATTCCGGGCTTGTCTGGGGAAGAAATTTTCCCAGGTCGAATTTGTTGTCGTGTTGTCAGTCCTTTTCCGTGATTATAAGGTCGAACTTGCAGATGACAGCCCAGAAGCTCGTAAGGATGCTGAAAGAGTGCTGCAAGAGAGTGTCTCAGTGTTGACGCTATCGATGAGAGAGGATGTCCCACTGCGGTTTCAGAGGAGAAAGGACTAGCGATAGTCAATGAGGTGAGCCCTTGAGCTGAAATTTGAGACGCTTGAAAGACAACAACGGACAAGGCTTTGTATAGTTTGTTTCATAGCGCATTTTGCTCTACTTGAACAAGAGAGACTATCTACAATCAGATACTATGATCAATTTTGTGAAAGCCTACCGGTAATGATGAAATGATTTATGATTTGGGCATGGCAGAAGGGTCTTCGATGGCCTTGACACTTCCCCTAATGAGAGTACGACAGAAATGATATTCACTGCCAGCCATAGCGCGCACCTCACAGGAATACTGACCAAGGTCATAAGCCCGTTTTTGTTTCTATCCTTCTTCTCAAAGTTGTCAGTACAACAATCAATGTTCCAACCTTGCTTGAATGTATGCCACCTATCTGATCGCTTTCCATCCCCAAACTCATCTTGATCTTGGGTTAGCCCTCAAGACCAAGTCTGAATGAGCACAACATCTCACTGCTGGGATGGAAACAAACAGAATCGAAGACTTCCCTTCGCACTGGAAAACAACTCTCCTCGGAGAAGCTTTCTGGAGAGACGCAGAGCGGTTCAACCAGCCCATCAACGACAGCATCGAAGCAAGTAAGCTCCTCCTTCCTGTCTGAACCTGCCAACAACATACCGCAACCTTCACTCCAGCAATGAATGCTCATACATTGTCAACATAATAATCTAGATCGCGGTTCGACTTTACACTTGAAGTTTCCTTTCAACCTGACTCCAGCAAAACTCCCGCATATCGAGGACGTGGCGAAGGAAGTAGAGGTCGGAAAGAAGCAGCGCCGTCGCTTTAGCATGAGCGATGCGCTGAGTCTGAATTCGTTCTCCTCCAACGCCCTAAGTTCCCTCTCTCAAAGCCGTCTCTTCAGCAAACGCTCACGCTCTCAATCTCGTTCACCGACCCGAGCCCCGAGTATTTCGTCAGAAACCCGCCGCCGCCGCTTCCTTCGCACTCCCTTCAACATGGCAAGTAGCAGGAGAAACGAGAAGATCGAGTCCGTCCTGGCTACCCCCACACCCCAGGAGCCAGGAACACCTGCAAGGCCTCTCATGTATTTCCGCGGCGGAGCAACCTGGAACTGCCTACCGAAGGACCTGGCCGCATTAGGAATCGACGTCTTCTGGCCCGTCAAAGAGGCTCAGGACGTCGAGGAGAACGTGCTCGACATCGAGGAAATGGCGCCGCTTTGCCAGTTTCGCAACCTGCGCGTGCTGAAGATCACGGGGATGATGCAGTCCTACCAGAAGTACATCTGGCAGGCCGCCTGGCTCAACACCGAACTCGAGGAGCTCGAGCTGGGAATGGCACTGGAGCCTCGAATCCGTCGCAGGTCTAGTAAGAGATGGCCCTACATCAAAGGCGGCTGGACGCTCGACACTTCACATTACAGCGAGCCTGTTTACTAGTAAGCCACCCCTCGATCCCAGAGCACTAAAGCAGGACACAGACTAAGAAGCTCAACAGCGGCCACGCAGGCGATGGAACCCTCGATCCAAAAGTCGGAGCCGGCGAGTACCTCGACAAAACCGCCATCGAGAAAGCCAAAGTCCGCGCCATGGTCATGGGCCGTACGCTGAACCGCCTCTCCATCAAGACCCTGACTCTGACCGGCTTCGTCGTCGATGCTGACCCATTTATCCACTGGTTCGACCCTAAGCATCTCAAATGCATACACTTCAAGGACTATTGCGTCGATGCCGGCTTCTACCTCTCCTGGCCGATGAGGAAGGTGGTGATCCATTACCCGCGCGATGTCTCAATGGAGCCGGTGCCCGCTCGCAGGATCGACCCGCTCAGGGAGCTGAAGGTGATCGAGCTAAAGGGCGGGAAGAAAGTCGGGGAGATGCCGTTCCGTGGTTCTGAGAGCTTTAAGCAGCTTCCTCTGCGTAACCCGTTCCGGAAGAAGCACTCCGTCAAGAAGCAAGACGCAGATGAAGAGAGGCATCAGGGAAGAAAGGCTCACCATTAACGAAACGGTATCCTCTACCTTTCTCGTGGCTGCAGTCTGAATCTGTGTTATCCCAAGATGCTGTAAATAATTGAATAAACCGAGAGGAAGACCTAGCAGCTTTGCCATTGGAGCTCTGTAGCCGAGCAGCAAGTACTCCACATGAGAAATTGAAGAACCCTATTTTGTTCAACCTATCAAAACGTATTATACATTCTTTATCATTACCGATCATCAAAGCTGACAGTTGCACCGACTAATCGTGGATACATTCGGACACAAAATACCAATCCCTCAAGGAAAACAGGCCACTGATGCATGTTCTCACAATCCCAGTCCGCGTTTCTTGCTCTCACTAGAGAAGCCTTCGTGGTAATTACTTGCACTTTGTGCAACTTCTGCTGAACCCATGGTTCATTTGATTGACGAAGCAAGCATTTAGGCTTTACGCTCCATCTTCCTCACTGATTCGAATGGCTCCTTCGTTTCCGACGCCACTGGACCAGAATCCGTCAACGTAGAGAGAGCTGAGAAGAATTAGTTTGATATCGTCATGCATGAGCGTCGTGCGAGACATGTACTTACATTCCCTGAGCGCTATCGTGTGCGATGATCAACCAGTACCCAAGCAAGCCCTGAGTGAAGATGTCATAGATGGCGAAGACAACGGTCTCGGTATCAACATTCATCTTCAAAGCCAGGACACCGGCCGCGAGAGCACTAAATACGTCAGTTACTCACTATCACATGGTTCCAAGAGAGTGGTAACATACACTGGGTACAGCACTTTGACAATCAGAGTCACACCAGACAAAGACGCAAAGAACCGTCTGGTCTGTGCATCCTTGTTATTCGCCGCCTTGCCTCCATTGATTGCAATATGGTAAACCATAGTCAGGTACCCCAGGGCGCTGATGGTGAACCAGACCCATCTGCGCGAAGTGTGGCCCGCGTAGGTGCCAAGCAGTCCGGAGCCCAGCATAACATAATCGGCCGCAATGGCGACGAGCAGATGCGCTCCAGGAAGGCCCGATACCAACGCCAGGTTGATGAGGGAGAGTGGCTCGGTCAGGAACCAGTTTAGGTAGCGTAGCCACAATACCTGGCGGAAGTGTTCCTGCGTGGTATCCGGGACATGCTTGTGGACGTGCTTGAGAGAGTCGTGTTTCCAGGCCATGCCGCTTCCCGTTGCGAGGGCGAGATAGACGATGAATGAGACGGTGGTCATGAGGGAGACCAATGTGTGGAAGACGCGCTTGGACTGCGATGCGTGAGTTTCAATCCATGATTACGACAGTTCAGTACATACCAACGGCACCCGAGCACTAAGCGTGTAGAAGACCAGTGACGAGATTCCCATGAGAACCGTAACCACCCTGAGCTCATTAGCCCGAAGATTTTGACGAAATCCGTCGAATAGATGCATACCATAATGTCCGCTTGCCAGTCATTCCAAGTTCCTGGAAGATAGGAGTATCCCCGGGAATGACAGTAGGCACTGGACCTACTGACGAGGTCGTAGTAGGCAAGGGCAACGGTTGCTTCGTATGAGACATCATCGAGTCGAACATCTTGAATAGTGTAGATTCGTGGTATTGCCCCCAATTGTATTCTTCAGCGTCAAGAATTATGGCAGTTCCAATCTTTATAGCTCGAAGGAGGATGCTCAATATCCGATCTGATCTGGCACTGGATAACCAAGTTCGATGATCGACACATCAAAACGAGATTCACTCCCCGCTAATCATCAATTTAAAAGAGGAGCTTTCGTGGCCCTCCGTGGCATGATTGTCGTCATGTTGCCCGGATTCGTAGTCTGGGGGAACTGATTTGCGGGTGTTACGAGGGGCAGTCGTCATGCTGACCTCGACGGTGTCGTCATCAAAACTGGGAAGAGCAAAGCATTTCACCACCAATAATATTCAGAAGTCACAACGCATGTAAGGACCTTGGTACCTATAATCGCCAATGTTCTAGAGCGGATGCAGTAGCTGGATGTTGGATTGAGATGCGGACGGATATGAGGGGTTCTGGTCACCTGAGCTACGACTACCTAATGTCTTTGCCACAGCGAAGTTGGCAGCATCATGCCACTGCTGCCTAGTCTCCTCTCAAGGACACCCTTGCCTGCTGTACTAAGAACATGAAGCTCCCGTTTAGATAGGCTAGGTATCATTTCAATCCCTGGCGTGACGTGGGATCCGCATCCGTTGCAATACTAAATTTGGAACTAGAATAGAGGGGTTATTGTACATAATCAAGCTCTGGAAACTATAGTACATAGCTAGGCTCGGTTAAGAGCTGAATAGACGAATAAGGAACTAGTCATACACTCAATCAACGTAAGGGGTAGTAGAGACCTTAGGCAGTGCCATTAGTAACACTCTCGCCAGGAGTCGACGCATCGCGGTCTCGCACAACCTCCTCGCAACGATTGCACAGTGCGCCATCGCTAGCCTGAGGTTCTGGGACAACATAACGCCAGCAACGAGGACACTTATCCGCCTGTGGCGTGTAGACGTAAACAGTTCCCTTTCCTCCACTGGGAAGTTCATACGCATCGCTGTACTGCCACTCTGCGTCAAGAATGGCAGCCGGGACAGGCTCTCTGTGCGCCCCGAGGGTAACCGAAGAGACAACGAACAGATCATTGAGCTCGGACAGATTGCGTCGTAGGGCGAATCCGGTCGAACTGCCCTCAGGTAATATGATATGGACAAAGGATTGAAGTGAAGAGCCCAGTTGCTTCTTGCCTCTCGCTTGCTCTTGCAAAGCCTTGATGACCGAACTGACCCCTACGATATCCTGATAATCGGCCTCCAGAGACTGGTTCAGCCAGTCGGGAGGAGGCGTCGAGGCTACACGCTTCAAGGGGTGCTCGCATTGCAATTTGATGGCTTCTGGGGTATGTTCCCAGGTCTCTTCCACAAGCAAGGGCGTGATGGGAGCCAGTATTTCCTGAAGGTAGTTATAGATGTGGAACAAGGTCGTCTGAGCGGCGCGTCTGCTGGTGCTGTTTTCTCCATAGGTATAGAGACGGTCCTTGATGGCCTCCATGTAGAAGGCTGAAAATTCAAGGTTGGCCCACCGGTTCATTGCGTTCACAGCCTTGTAGAACTCGAAATTCTCGCATGCTTTTTGACAAATGAGGACCATCTCGGACAGATGCATAAGCGCCATGCGGTCCACTTGCTGTAACTGGTTGTATGGAAGTTGGTCCTGTGGCCGGAAATCTGACAGAGCACCCAGAAGAAGCTTGAAGGTCACGCGAAATTTGTGCAAGCTGGTGTTGACGGTCTGAAGCACTTGTTTACCTATCACGACGTCCCGTGTATAGTCGCTGCTTGCAGCCCACATTCGAAGCGCATCGGGTCCCAAAGCATCATACACTGGCTCTTTGACTTCTTGTTGCTTCTTCCCTTTGCCTTTCCTCGGCTTGAGAGGGGGCAAAAGAGTTCCGTCCATGATCGACTGGGGGTGAATCACATTTCCTATTGACTTACTCATCTTGCGTCCTTCTTCGTCGAGAGTAAATCCATGAGTGATGAGATTCTTGAATGGTGCTCGAGGCGTAGCAGTCTGCCCTGAGGCAAGCTGATGGGAAATATATGTGAGAAGCCCGGACTGGAACCAGCCGCGGTGCTGGTCGGTGCCTTCTAGGTAAACATCCGCAGGGTATCCATCGCGAGGAACGGTATCGAGCTCTGTCCAACTTGTACCGCTATCGAACCACACATCCATGGTATCAGTGCCGCGCCTGTAACCGGATCCGGAATCTTCTCGCAGTGTCGGCGGAATCCACGCAGGGTCATTCATATCGTCAGTCCACCATGCATCTATGCCTCGTTCCTCGATGACAGACATGATGTGCGAGACGCTGTCCCGCGTGAGCACAGCATCGCCTGTGGCCCGATTATAGAGGGCGGGAATTGGGACACCCCAGGCACGTTGGCGTGAAATGCACCATTCGCTACGATTCTTGACAAAGTTCTCCAGACGTTGCTTTCCAGAACTAGGCACAAACCTTACATCTTCCAAAGCTTTTACTGCGCTGTGACGGATGTCGGCCACATCCGCAAACCATTGTTCAGTTGCTCGGATGATGATCGGAAGCTTCGATCTCCAATCGTAAGGATACTTATGCTCATACTGATGTTGTGCCAGCAGGTAGCCTTGCGACTCAACGTACTCGAGCACCGCAGCATTCCCTTCTCCAAGGACACTTTTTCCACTCAGTCTTGCTGGGTCACTGGGCATGGCCTTGTCGGTGAATTTACCATGATCGTCAACGGGGGCAAACGCAGGAATGCCACGAGGAACACAAGCTTCGTAGTCATCCATACCATGACCAGGGGCACAATGCACAAGCCCTGAACCAGAGTCGGCAGTGACAAAATCCGCAGCTATGATCGGCTGAGGTTCCGCATCAATTGACTTGAAAATCGGTCGATACTTTGTCTGCTCTGCTAGCTCTGAGCCACGAATAGATGGAATGATAATAGACAGATCCTCCTTCAGCATATGTTCCAGGTACTCAAGCCGCGATTGAGCGACAAGAAGCTGACCGTGAGTATCCGACTGAACGATCGTATAATCCAAGGATTCGTGAACAGCGATCACAGCGTTGGCGGGAAGCGTCCAAGGCGTCGTAGTCCAAATGACGGCACTGAGATCCTTGAGCTGTACCAGAGGGTCTAGAGCCAATTGTGGTGGGACTGAGACGAGAGGGAATTTAACCAGGGCAGCGGTGGAAACATGGTCGTCTTTGTATTCCAACTCGGCTTCCGCAAGCGCTGTTCCGGTAGACGGTGACCAGTAGACAGGTTTAAACCTTCTATAGATCAATCCCTTATCCACCATCTCACGAAAAACACCAAGTTGTCTTTTCTCGAATTCCTTGTCCATAGTTTTCCAATGGCCCTCCCAGTCGGCCATCACGCCAAAGCTTCGAAAGCCTTTCATCTGTTCTTTGACTGTCCGCCCCGCCAGCTTACGTGCAGCTTTGCGAATAGCAGCGGCAC